CTTTTCCTTGGCATAGCCCATCGCATTATTCACTTCTGCACTAAAAAGTTTTTCTTGAATTAGGTTTGTAAGAAGATGAGCTTGTTTATGACTTGGTCAAACTTCCTTTTCGCAGCAGTTACTGCAGCTCTGTCATTGCATGAAGTGGTTAATTCTTTCCATATGTTCACTGCTTCAGCAGTTGTACATTTATCACTCTGGACTTTGTCCAAAGTCACAAGTATTGGTTCTAGTCGTGCAAGTAGGTGCTCTGCTGACCGCTTCAGTCTTAAGATAAACACTTTCTCTGTAACACTGGCATCAATCTGCTCCTTATCAACTTCTCAAATTTGAGGCATCAAGAGCATAGTGATTCTTTCTAAAGTATTCTACCAATCTAAATGAAGAGTTGGTTGCAGAGACCATCTCTGCAACATCTTCATTAAGGTTTGTTATTTTTCATAAGTTGTTTTTGTAACAAATGTTTCCAAAGTTATTGTTTTGAGAAACTTATAATGCAGTTTGTAGCTGCTGGCATTATTCTCTGAGATTTCATTATTGCTACTATGCCTTGTAACTCAAGTTTACACTGTTTGCATAGAACTCTCCATCGTTTCCCAGACTTTGAAGGAATTCTGTTAAAATGTTCCCACACTGGATTACTCTTCCTTCCAAATACATTGAGCCTTGTGGTCAGTGACATCTCTCCACTTGGAAACCAACTGAGAGATGATACATGCTGTAAAAACACTCCAAAATGTGTTTTAAACTAATGTATAGAATATATAATAGCTTTCCAAATGTAATTATGCTGATAAATAAAAAATCACCTTGAGCTTGCTTGTCTTCAATTTTATCGCTTAGGCTAAAGCCTTTTAATGTGCATTTACGGATTGCCTGTCCGAGGAATTTGAATGATCGTACTCGAATCAATTCTAGAAGCTCGCGTCCCTGTTCGAACCTTCTGAGGATCTTCTCGCTGACGCTCGGTCAGTGTATGGGGTGCGCAACTTCCCGCGGTAGAACCACATTTCCGCGGCCTCTGTCTTGCGCCGAGTTTCAGTCATTAGTATCCAGGACCCGCAGCCACATAGGAGAGTCGACCAGACAAAGGTTTTAACGAGTCTGATTTTTATTTGCATTGAGAGCTTGCGTTCTATTTTGGAGTTTGGAAAATCTGCATCTGATTTTTTTTTTCTTTTTTTTTTTTTTTGCAAAGAGCATCTGAGGTGACAATACACACACACACACACACACACACACACACACACACACACACACACACACACACACACACACACACACACTGCATATATTATCATGAAACGGAATGACCATTGGGCTGACCAGCCGTGGCATCCCATTTTGTTGTAGATTCATATTTGTGATGTGGTCAGGAGCTTAAAATAAGCGAAATAAAGGCCTCAAGTGTTTTTTTCATCTAACTAGGGATGCTATCTCGGTCGTTCATTCAGTATGGCTAAACTTCCACCAGACATATTCTGCATCTATCTTGAACTACCAGTTAAACTGATAAACCACTTCCTTGCTGCCAGCAGCTTCACTGGAACCCTAGCAAGGGGAGCTCATAGGATACTATCATTGAATCCCAGGGTGCAGTTTAACGTCCTGATCAGGACAAATATAATCATTCATATTTGTGCCATTACCAATGCGATGTTTGACGAACTACTTGGCGTCATGTTGACATCATGTAGTTGGCTGGGGGACAACCATCATATCGACGATACTCACCCACTGCTGCTAGGTTTGGCTTTCCCAATTTATGCAAATCCGCGCGCTTGTGTATGTATGTGGACTCGCGCGAAATGTGTGTGTATGTGTTTGTTTATATGTATGTGTATATGTGCGTGTGTGTGTATGTGTGTGTTCACGCGCGCGCGCGCGCGTGTGTGTGTGCGTGCGCGCGTATGTGCGTTTGTGTGTGTGTGCGTGTGCATGTGTGTGTGTGTGTGTGTGTGTGTGAGCGCGTGTGTGTGCGTGTTTGATTATGTGTATGTGTGTATGGGCTATTTCCTTTCATATCTCTGTGTTGAAAACTGCGTTATTGTTAACCACTTTATTAACAAATATCAAAAACACTTATCTTGCTTAGAAAATAGTCCATTCTCAATCATGTAACTCTACCCCTTTACTGTATACTGCATTTCGCTATATTAGGTATGCTAAATAAAGTTGTATTGTATATATCTATGTTCTATATTCTAAATGTTCTGCACATAATAAAGTTTATCTGTGTCTTTATATATGAAATATTAATATCTTACAAACAATAAACTTTACTCGCATATGTCTATTTCACATGCTATAAAGTTAACTTTATAATCTTCCTTTTGCATTTCCTTTTTCGAAGGATAAAATTGCAGTACGATATCAAGAAGGTTATAACAAAGCCTTGACAGAAAAAGGTCGATTTCAAAAAATATTTACAACCAGGGAAAACGATCATTTAAGTTGAAATATTACTATTACAGGATGATGATGATGATAACTACAAGGACAAACGTAACAATAGCAACAACACAAAGGGTATTATTGGAAATGGCGCCAAAGACAAAAAATGAAGAATCTGATAGAACGTAACATTCTAAGACACCTTTCTTTTATTGCATTTTCTTCGCAAACTAATAATGAGGGTAGGCGAGAGGATGTAAAACTCAATAACATATACCCTTCCAGCGGCAAGAAAAAATGACGCGAAAGGGAGCAGGCGGCGAAACAGTCGGACG